CGCGCACACACACACACACACACACACACACACACACACACACACACACACACACACACACACAAACACACACACACACACGCAAACACACACATGCTTGCATCCGCCACCCATGCCTCCCTCCTGGGGCCACCCCACCTTTGTAGCGCCGCTCTCGCTCCAGCGGCTGCCCAGACACCGCCACGCTGCCCTCAACCACGCGGCTGCCGGGGGACTGGGCTGGGTCAAATGAGAACTTGATGCCGGACACCTGGCGCAGCGGAGTGTTCATGAGTACAGGATGGAAGGGTTTGTCGAGAGATCATGCGGCGCTGATGCGGCGGGGCGCGTTAGAGACTGCCAGCCCCGATGCCTGGCTTTTCAATCGGCGTCGTGAGGCGTCCGACCAAAGCAGCGCGCGGCTGCAGGTGCGAGCGCCGTACGCATGGGAGCCGAGCGGCCACGAGTCGCGGACACCACTGCACACGGCCGGAGTGCAAGCGCGTAGGGCTCATGCAGCCTGCTGAGATGCAGGCGAGCTCGCGCCTGCAGGAAACGGCCCTCCAGCGCCGGCCACTGCGACACGCCGTTCTCCAGGGCGGCGAGCAGCTCAGCGCCCGTGGGTTCGATCTGAGTGCGCCGTGCGAGGATTTGTTTTGGCGGGGGGGGGGGGGTATGATCAGCAGCACACGCTCAACGCGTCAGTGGGTGCAGCCGGGCAGGAGTGAAGGGATGGTGGCAGTGCTGGCAGCAGGGAGGGCTCGGAGGGGGATGCATTGTGAGCTGCTGCTCTGTGCGTTCCCCTTCACCTCAGAAACCAATCAACGCAGCCCCATCTTACATGACAACACACACAACATGCACGCACGCACACAAACGCACGGACTCGCATGCACAAACACGCGCACGCGCGCACACACACACACACACACACACACACACACACACACACACACAAACATACGCATGTGTGTGTGTGTGTGCGCGCGCGTGCATGCGCGGCCATGCATATGTGCAATCGAGCCTCCTCACCACAACAGTGTCGTCCATCATGGGCAGTATGCTGACCAGATCACGGAACGTCAGATCACCCACGGGATGGACGGTGTCAGATCTACAAGCCAGATGCATTATAAGGGCAGCGGCCAACAAGTGAGCGAGAAGATCGCCCAACACAGAGCCAGAGGGACGGGTTCTAGATGCAAGCGCGGCGTCCTCGTGAGAGCAGCGCCCGCCGTGCCATGCGGCGGAGCTGCCTCCTGCACACTCGGCTCGTAGACAATCACCCTGCACCGCTGCGTCACCCTCACGGGCCGCCAGCCATATCAGCACGCAGGCGGCGCGCAGGGCCGCCCCCCTTTACGATCCGCCACCAATCAGCAGCCACCTCCAAACAAATGATCAATCATAAACCATCAAAATCAACCGCAATGATTTAGAATCGAGGTCGCACCTGAAGGTGCCGCCGTTGAGGATCGCCACATCAGCGCTGCAGGCGCGCCGCAGCACGTCGCAGAAGAAGTTTCCCAGGTTCGACTCAGCCCGCCGCACCTGCCAGGGGCGGGAGGGCGAGGAGAGTGAGAAACACACGGAGGGACGCTTGCTGCTGCGTCGGGACTTGTGCAGGCGTTTGTGTGCCCCGAGGCTCGCCACCAGGCGAGGGTACCAGCGAGCGGGCAAGTTTTGAGGCAGGCGGCGGGGTACGCCGTTGCATGCGCCCACAAATTGCGCGCACATCCATCTGCAAGCCCCGTTTCAGTGCACATCAGTCCCCAGCATCAAGCAGCTGCGCGTGCATCATGCGGCAAAAGGGCCCAGTGCCCACCGTGGCGAAACGCCCGTCCAGGTCCACTGCTGTGTGCCCAATCGCAACATCCATTTTCGACCCCATCAGCGCCGCAAACTCCTCCACCACCGCGGCCGTCTCAGGGTCCTCCGGCGCCGACGAGCCCACCTCCACCCGCTCTACTTCCACGTCGGGCCGCGGCCTCGCCGACTTTTGCTGCTGCTCCTGCCGCTGCTGCTCTTGCTGCTTCTCCTGTTGCTGCTCCGGCTCCTGCTTCGGACCCTGGTCTCGCTGTTGCTGTTGCTGCTGCTGCTGCTGCTGCTGCTGCTGCTGCTGCTGCTGCTGCTGTCCTTTGACGCCCTCAGGGGTCCCATTCTGGATTAATGTGCCGCCGCCGCCGCCGCCGCCGTCCCCTGAGCGCGGCGGCAGCGTGACTGTGACGATGCTGAGCTCCCGGAAGTCTGTCCCGCTCTTCACCACGGGCGTGCCGTGCGGCTGCGGCCTCTTGACGCCGTAGAAGTGGTCGTGGCCTCTGGGATTTGGGTTTGGTGGAGGCGGTGTTGTTGAGGGTGCGGAAATTGGGCGCAAGAGAGGGGGGTGCGAAGGCATCCATGTGTGTGTGTGTGTGTATGTGTGTGTGTGAGGGTAAGTGTGAGGCGCAACACACACACACACACACACACACATACACAAACAAGATTAATGCACACACGCCGACCCACCCACGACAGCCCAAATGTCATCGACCTTAAGATCATGTGAAGCCAACAACATTACAACATGGATGGTCAACCTATCTATTACCAGGCAGCCGCTCAGCACACTACGGTGATCTCATGCACCCGAACGCCGTGCACACGCACTCCCCGCCCTCACCCCTCGCTCCGGCCGATGCCTCGTCTTCCAACCAGGCGCATACCACTTCACTCGCCCGGTGCTCTGACCCCAGGCCACCCCGCATCCCACCCCCCAAAAAAACCCATCACCCACCCCAGCACCAGGTCGATGCCCTCCACCTCCTCAGCCAGCCGCATGTCGTTCGGCTCCCGCATGTGGGTCAGCGCCACTACCAGGTCGACACCCTGGCCCTCCCGCAGCTCGGCCGCCAGGCGGCGGCCCTCAGAGACAAAGTCGATGTAGGTGATGTCATCTTCCTCCACACACGGGAGGGTGTCGACCCTGGTTGAGTGATTGGTGGGTTGGTGGGTCTGTCACGGGAGGCTTTTTTCAGGGGTTTGGTGGGGGGGTGCCGAATGTCGGGTGGGGCCGAGCGGAGGATGGGGAGCACACGCACAGGGGTTGTGTCATGGCTGCAGGGCTGCGGCGCGTGTGGTGAGAGGCAAGGGCGGGGTTGTGACGCTTTGCTGACTAACAGCGATGAAGCAGGCTGCAGGCTGCTCGCCCTCGGCCGCCGCCAGTCGCGGGTGGGCCCCCGCAATGAAGAAACAAACCCATTTGCCAGATTATGTGTCGTCCCCTGACCCACCAGTCCTGCTCAGCCAGTCCAATGAGCCCCACCCTCACTCCCGCGTGTTCAATGACAAGAGTGGCTTGGCAGCCGCCCAGCGGCAGGCCTGCGAGCGCACGTGTAAGCATGTTTATATTTGTGTGTGCGTGGTGGAGGCGGGGAGCGACAAATGAGAGCGCGTGTGTGCATTGTGTGTGCGCATGCCATATGCCAGAGTGTGCGCACGTGTATGTGCAAGTGCCGGGTCGTGGCAGTGTCACAATGGTGCCCCAGATACGCGAGTGCCGCCAGGCCGGTTGCAACTGCTATGCATCATTGCGAGAGCAGTACTGGCTCTGCCGAGCCCTCCAATGCGACCGCACCCGTGCGGGCGTCCAGGACGTTGGCAATGAGCCAGGGGAAGTTGCAGGCCTCGCGCAGGGCCAGAAAATTGTCCAGACCATAGTCTGGGGGTGTTGGATTCAAGGGAGGCGTCACGGGGATGGCGTCGCTTATGCAGCTCGCTTGCACAGGCGCAGCTGTGGCGTTACAGTCTGTATTGAAAAATTGCCTGCCTATCCCATCACGGGACGGCAGCCACGCGCACCAACAAGGTGTGCATGACAACCTTTGCGGCACCAAGCAAGCTATGCTGCAGGAGCAAGGATATGTGCGCAGGGCGTTTGTGGCTCGCCTATGTCGTGGTTTCCAAGGCAGGCCGCAGCGACACCCGCCGCGTTCAGCACTGGCACCTGGTGAGAAGGGTGCGGCACGGAGGATCCCATGGCGGCACGGAGGATCAGCATCCAGGTAGGCGAGTGTCCAGGGTCCGATGGGCAAGTGCACCGCGCGCAGCCAGGGCATGTGCCCGCTGATCAGGGATGAGTGTCGTGGCGTCCACCAAGCTGGTGGGGCACACACCGACCAGCATGTGTGCGATTGCACGCACGGCCAGGCCCGGAAGCATGCTCACACCCACAAAAGCACACACCCCTGCGAGACAAGATCAGGCAGGAGGGCACGTGCGCACGTCCGCACGCTCATGTGAGCTCACCCACACGCCGGTGCAGGTTCCCACAAGACCACGCGCGCAGCACGCGTGCGCTCGCACCATCTGCTTTCCCAGCGTCATGGTTGACATAAGGGAAGGGTTGAACGCGTCCCCAGAGAACAGGACCAGGGGGTCCAGGTGCGACAGGCTCTTGATCTGATGATGTTGGAGGCAGGCAAACATGTTGAATTGTGTTGTTAGGTGTTGTGTCGTGTTGTGTTGTGTTGTTGGGTATTGTATTGTATTGTATTGTGTTGTGGGGGTAACTGAAGAGCGGGGGAGTGAGGCAAGTCTACAAATGGCTGGCAAGCACTGGAGCCTAGCTTGGGGAGCAGACTGGTTTGAAAGGGCATGCTTGGTGAGAGGGCGGCCCGGCGAGGGTGCTGGCGGTGGGCTTCTGCTGGGCCAAGCTTCATTATGACGCTTGTCCAAGCCACACGCTGAGCGCCTTCCGGGAACTGGCCCTGCTGCTGCGCGCTGCTTGACCTTTGCTACTGCTGCTCCTGATTCTGCTGCTGCGGTTGCTGCTGCTGCTGCTGCTGCCGCTCGTTGCGGCGAGCAGGTATTTGGGTCATGGCGACACCCAGCGGCTGCGGCCAGCTGCACACGCACCGTTCCAATGAAGCGGGCGGCGCCCCCGACGGGCTCCCGTGCCGCCGGCTCAATGTTGTAAACATCGTTGAAATGAAGTCTGAGATGCCGTGCGAGCGCGTGCATGTGTGTGTGTGTGTGTGTGTGTGTGTGCGTGTGTGTGCGTGTGTGTGCGTGTGTGTGCGTGTGTGTGTGTGTGTGTGTGTGAATGTGTGTACTTTCATGCCCATGCTATCATGTGCGCGTGGGCGTGTTGGGCATGCAAGTGCTGACCATGCGCGGCATCCGTGCTCATCCTCCTACCACGAAGCACCACCCAGTCCAGAAATGCTGCTGCCTGGCGCCCGCCAATTGCCGACCAAGCTGGGGAATCTGCATGCAGGACCCTTGACATTGAAATCACTCACATTGTCAACTGCCGCACCATGCCGGCCAGAGCCTGCGCAGATGTGGCGCTCGCACACGAAGGAGCTGGCGAGCGCGGCGCTGTGAAAGCAGCTGGTGCGCAGGGTTGCCGTCCGCAGGCTGGCGTCTGCACAGGTCACAAGGATGACCCAGTCTTATCGACAAAGTCCCTGTAACAGCTGCTCCAGATCGGTGTGAGATCTGTGGATCCACGAAGACTCGAGCTGTGATACGTAGCACTGTACTCCGAGGACGGCTGCCCTTAATCTATACGTGTTCGAGTGCAATTATGATAATGTCAGATAGTGTACATTGCATGGCTGCACGGCCATGGCTGAGGCCCGATATGCCCGATGAGTGGACTTGACTGAGCAGTCGCGGTCGCGGCGCGTGCGCGACTTCATGTTTTGCAGAGTGGCCTGCAGGAGCTTGTAGACGGCGGACAAAGCGCTCATGGGTAAGTGACAGCAGCATATGTTTTGGCTGTTTTGCTCGTCAGCCAGGCCAAAGTTCATCCTCAAAGCCGTTGTGACGTGACCTGCCGTCGGTCGTAGATGATGGATGCCGCTGCCACCGTCCACCGCACTCCCCACTAGATATGGCCGCGGGATAGGATGGCTCAAGGTCTGTGAGCGTAAACCAGCGTGCTGATGTTGCGACGGCAGCGGCGTGGCCGCAACGTAATTCTGCTGCAACAGGTAATAAGAGTGTGCAACAATCATTGTTGTTCCGAGGGGACGTGAAGGCAGCTGTCAAGCACGTGCATGCTCGCGCTGCTGTTTCTGAGCATCGGTGGAATTACCAGCTTGCATACTGTCCACTGGGGAGGGGGAGGGCGGCGGCAGCAGCAGCAGCAGCATGCCATCATCGGCATGAAACACGCGCAAGGGAATGTAGCAGCCGGCACGCAAGGGATTCGCCGCTTGGCATCTCAAACGTCAGGCTGACAAGGTCTCAAGGCACGTCTGCGCGCTTCATCGCATCACTAGGGCGCCGCCAGGGTGAATTTCACTTCGGGACGCACATCCTGCTCTTCAGTGCAGCCCCCTCCTAGTCAGCAAACAGTACTTTCCTCATCTACTGTGCCACCCTGAGGTCTAGTAATAAGTCCTTGCGGCGGCAGTCAAGAGCTGCTGTTGCTCTTGGCTGCTGCCGAACGGATTTACCTGATGCTAGCAGTACTGACAGGCGAACCCGTGCTGTTGCTGTTGCGGTTGCTCAACTGTGCTGCCGCATACGCTACTGGGCTGTATTGCCAGTATTAGTGCTGCATCGATCTCCGGTGAGAATAAGAGTCTATTCAAGTGCATTATCATTGTTATATGCTTGTGAATTATAGATCAGGTCGCAGCTCGCGCGGCTTTATTTACTTCCAGCTCGTCGGCGCGCATCCACGGCCGCAAAAGGGCTGCCACTAGTGTGTATGTGTGTTGAGTTGCAGGTACACTGCGGCGGCGGCTCGCTCGTCGCAGGGGCCCGTGCTGCCTGCACTGCTCAGGTGCAGCAGCACGTACTGTGCCGGTAGCCTCGGCAGTGGCTGAGCCAATGCAGGCATAGCAGGTGGCTGCTAGAAGTGACTTTTACTGTGCAATGACACCACACCGTTTGAGCCAGGCAATGGCACACGCACGGTGCATCCTGACCGCCGGTCAACGGACGCGCACCCGCCCCTCCTGGCATGGGCAGGCCGTCGACAGCAAACAGGTCAACGATGGGGTCCGACCTGCTCGCACACTTTGAGACGGTGAGGGCATGATCAAGGGTTCACGATGTGTTCAGTCGCACAATCCCTGTTGCAGAAAAGGGCTCGGCTGCTTGCACGCCGTGGCGTGCAAGCAGCCGGCTTTCCAGCTTGGCAGCACTTGCATGCATGCGTATCGGCATGAATTCAAGCGAACACTCCCAAACATCCATCCACCACCAGCCGCAGCGCCCTTACGCCGAGCCATCCACCACATGCCTCCCCAAACCAACCAGGGCACCTACCGCCGCAACAACACGTTTCTTGGGGACGAGGAGTACGGCCGCGCGCTGGACTGCTTCGTGAAGGGTTGCGCAGATGTGCTGATGCAAGACGAAAGCACGGGGCAGGTGGGCAGCATGGCGCGGCGTCGCCGACTGCAGACGTGACAGCACAGATATCTGTTGATCGTTGGCTTTTGATGTTACCACTGTTGATTTCCCAATTCGAAGCGGCGTACAACGATTGAGAAGTGTTGTGTGCGCCTCTGAACGTCTGCAACCTCCACCCACCCATCAATCCCTGGTCGCAGCTGCTCATCATGCGGCGCATCGTGCATCCCCAGCCTGACTGGTGGTTTGTCGGCGGCCGCATGCGGGTGCGCGCACCGAGGCACGCATGCCCTCCGTCGCCATACTTGGGGGATCAAGTAAAGTCCGACTTCGATCAACTTCGAACACCCCCCTCTTCCCGTCGCACCACTCCTGCAACCTCCACCCTGTTGCCGATTTCCACCTCACGCAAGTGGGTGACGTCGTGCCGCACCTGCATGCCTGGGTTTCGTGTCGTCACCCGGCAGTGTGAGGTCGCATCCGTCGACGCTGACAGCCACACCCCTGTCTGCCGCCCCAGGCAGGCGACACGCCCGAGGCGGCGGCGCAGAAGAACGTGCTGCGTGAGACGGGGCTGCGGTTGCCCCTGGACCGCTTCACACCAGTCTGCACGACGTCCATGCTGTGAGTGCTTCGCCCTCAATGTAGTTCCTGCATGCCCATTATGCCTGTGCTACTTTGGTTCTAGCACATTGCGAAAGGGTGCTGGCAGTCAGTGGGGCTGCACTGTCTGTGCACCCACTGCAATCATGGCTGGCGCGGCTGCTGCCAGGGCCAGCAGGGGGCCACATGCAAGAGCACCAAGGGCGCCACGCGCGCTGAGCTGCTCCAACCCCTGCGCTACCGACAGGTGGCAGAAGCGCAAGCAGGAGCCCGAGGACAACGGCACTGCAGACATCGCGGTGGGGTAGGGAAGGGGTGGCTTGCAGTGCGCGGACGGGTTGCTGCAGCCATGTTGTGAGCAACCAGTTCCACGGTGTGGACTCCAAAGCTGCAGCGGCTCACGTACAAAGGCGCATACTGGCGCGTGCGCACACACACACACACACACACACACACACACACGTGTGTGCATGTGCGCTTCCTCAGGTCGTGTTCCTCGTCCGCCTGACCGAGTCTGAGCGCACCGCCATCAAGGCTGACAGCGAAGAGTACGACGAGATGGCCTGGATGGCGCCGGAGGCCGTCGCGGGCGGCGGCGACTACCACCCAGCCCTGCGAAGGTGCGTGTGTTCTTGCGGCCGCTGGAGGCAATCTGAGGGTGATTTGCAGTGAACGGCGCCGCGCGGAGCCCTCGCGCCGTCACTCATGCGTCTCAGGCACGGCGCCCTCGGACGTCGCGCCCGCCCTGCCCGCGGAGCTACTCGCGGAGCTGCCTGGGGCCTGCGGGACCCATTGACTGTAGCAACACGCTCACCTGATCAGGAGCATAGCATCTGCTCACGCTGCCATCCATAATCCTGCCCTCACGGCCCTTTTCCAAGGGCGGCGCAGCACGTGCTGGCCCATGCGGCATACCTCGGCCTCGAGGCGGCTGCGGGGGCGGGCGGGGACGACGCCACGGTGGCGGCGGCCGCCCGCGCGTACGTGTCCGCGCAGGCGACAGCCAAGCAGCTCGGGACCCTGCCGGTGCCTTTCAAGCAGCTGCGCGCGGCGCCGTCCGCGGCACAGAATGCCTGATCCAAATGGCCGCTGCGCTGGCAGGCGTGTTGGATGGCCAGCATACCTCAACCCACCAAGACTGCATGCCTGGCATTAAGAAATGCTTCTTGCTTGGTTTTGCGCTGCAATCGGCTTTTTTTGCCGACTCTCAACTCCAGCAGGGCAGCCCGCACCCTTCTTACCCCCTGACCTTCCTCAATTGTGCAAATTGACCGATTGTTTTGAAAGCATACAAGCATGTGCTGTGTTTGTGCCTACGGGGATGTAAAGCCGGCGCGACCCAGATGCCGGTCGGCGTTGATTGCATTACATGATGCAGCCGCCAGGGTCATGACTAAGCAGCCGCAGGCGCAAGGTGTGGCGGGCGGGTTGCTACGTTGGGGGTGAGGGAGGGTGGGCTGCATAAAGCAGGGCCCGCGCGCCAGCGCGGCCACAGCAACACTCGCAAACGTCGTGTCAGGGTCATTTAGTACTGCGTCAGTCCCTGCTTCATGCAAGGCCTTGAGGGGCTTGAAAGTCACCCGCCGTCCACAGACAGCACTCGAGGTGCGCCTCAAACCCACCAACTGCACACGCGATCCACCGCCCCGGAAAAAGGGGTGACAAAAGTGGAAGGAGGGGTCACCACACAAACAAATGTGCAACGAATCACAAGCAGGCATTAGAAGGGGTCCTCTGGGTCATATGGATCGTCCCCCTCATCCGCAAACGCGCCGTCCCCATACCCGCCGCCGCCGCCGCCCGCCGTGCCCGCGACGGCGGCGCCGGCGCCGTTGCCGCCGCCAGCCAGCAGCCCCGAATTCATGAGCGCCTCCAGGTCGAACCCCAGCCTGTCGCGCTCCCCCTCTGGCAGCTTGCTGAGCGCGTCCGCGAGCAGCGGCGGCGCCGCGGCGGGCGCGGGCGCCGGCGCCGCCGTGTACCCGCCGCCGCTAGCGGCGGCCGCACTGCGCTGCTGCTCGGGGGTGCCTTCCAACCCTGTGAGGGCGGCGCCGTCATCATCGTAGTCATCTTCCATGTCCACCTCCATCGCCGGCGCCTCGGGGCTGCCCACGGCGGCGGCTGGGGCCTGCGCCGGCGGTGGCGGCGGCGGCGCTTCCACGGAGGCGCTGGCGGGCGCGGCAGCGGGCGCGGCGGGGCCTCCTAGCCCGGCGATCCCCGGCAGCCCCTGCAGCCCCGCAACCAGGCCGGCCGACAGCTGCCCCATCCGCGCGCGCAGCTGCTCGCGCTGCGCGCCGCAGGCGCCCAGCTGCGCGGCGGCGGCAGCGACGGCCTCCTCCTGCGCGCGGACGGCCGACTGTAGGGCGGCGACGGCGGCGCGGCGCGAGTCTAGCTCCCGCTGCAGCGCCGACTCGTAGGCTTCCAGGTGGCCGCTGATGGTGGTGACTGCGGCCAGGTCCCCCGATATGGGCAGCTCCTGCGGGTGCCCGGCGCGACAGGGCCGCTCAGCAAGAGATGTGGCGCGAGCAAGCTTGGGCGCGGGGCGCGGAGCGCGTGGCGAGGTGGCGGGCGTGGACGCCCGTGCAGCAGCTGCACACGCAGCTCATGCCTCTGCATTTTGTCAAGCAACGCTGCCCCAGCGCCGACCCTGTCGCGGCTGCGCCACAACCCACCCGGCGAGGCACGGCCGGCCGGCAACGCAGCCGCACCCTTCCCGCCCCTCTCGCAACCCACCGGCCGCCACGCCGCTTCAAATGTCTTCCGTTTCTCCGCTGCCGCCGCCGCAGCCCTCGCCGCCGCTGCTACCGCATCCCCGCCGACGCCGGGTTTGCCGCCGCCGCTGCCGCTGCCGCCGCCGCCGCCCGCCTTCTTCGCCGGCTGGTAGCCGCCGCCGCCGCCGCCCGCCCCCGCCGGCAACCCGGCCGCGCCCGCGCCGCCGCCC